TGGGAAGTGTGGACTCGGCCAAGGGCCTGGTGGCCACTGCCCAACCGGGGCCCGCCCTTTGGCACAGTGGTGCCCCCTCCTGAGGGCTTAGGGAGCCCACCAGCTGGGCACAGGCCATCTCGGGTGGTGTCAGGAGGCCGGCAACTGGCCGGTCCTCGGGTGGCCCACGGGGCGAGACACAGGCCGGAGCCTGTAGCGCGGACGCATAGCAGCACATCCGGGAGCAGAGGGGCGGCCCGCGTGGCTGCTGACCGCAGCTGCTGTCGCGAGTGAGCATCGGTCGGGTCCACTAGTTTTCAGATGACACTTCCGCATACTGGTGGGTTTGCCCCTCTCGCTCTGAAAGGCCTCCTTCCCGCTGCCCCTCAAGGGCGCCTGGCATAGCACCCCTGTGCGGCGCCTGGGCCGCCAGTTGGCCCTATTGGTCACTGGGGACCCCACTTCCTGGCCCGTCGCGTCTCAGGGCCTCCTCCCCTGCCAGGCCACAGGAACAGTCCTGGCTCGGGTGAGGGATGCGGGTCCCCGGCGGGCAGGCCTGGGGACATGGCACTGATGAATTTGTTAGGTCAGCTGTGTGGTGACCAGTGTGGGGTCCCCTCATGTCCCCGCCCCTCCTGTCTCCCCGGGGCAGAGCGCTGGCCAGGGCTGGGGCTTGCCTCACGGAACGCCGACCCTGACTGCCAGCGGCCTGCGAAGCCGGCGTGAGCCTTTGAGACACCCGCCCTAGCCTGTGAACGCTCCTGCTGGGTCGGCGGCAGCAGCGAGAGCCCACCGGGTGGTCGTCATGGAGCTGGGTGGCGGGAGACGCCCTGGAGGGCCGGCCAAGAGCCAGCGCCCAGCACGGCACAGCATCTGCCCTGGCCCTGGCCGGAGACAACACTGGCCCTTTGGGGTGAATGGGCCCGCCCCACACGCCGCCAGTGTCGGGAGGGGCAGTGGGATGAGGAGTCAAGTGGGGTGCTGAGTGGGAATTTCCACTCCAAAGCCAGAACGCCTTGGAAACCCTCAGGGGAGTTACTGTAGGGGACCATTTGACTGCAAAGGCGCCGAGGAAATGGCAAGGAAATGGCATGCTGCGGTCAGTGGTCAGTGGGGTGCCGTCTGGCAGGTGGGCGAGGCCACCCCAGCTTCCCCTGTGAAGGCAAAGATTCTGCCAGCTCTTTTCTAACAAAAGTGACTAAGGGAGCCTTTGTTTAAAAACTTAACCCCTAATCCCCAATGCTCCCCTGCAGTCCCCAGCCCCCCATGGCAGGACAGCCAGGCCTGCAGGATCAGAGTGCTCCCCAGGCCACCAGCTCCCTCCCTGCATGTCAGCCCCCAAACCCTCATCGAGCAGCACGGGCTATCTGCCCTCCCTGGAATGTGCCCCCTGTGGAGACGCCCCAGCCTCAACTGGCAGGGCCAGTGCACAGCGATTGGCCGTGGTCACACGGCTGCCCACCAAGGCGGCAGCCCACCAAGGCGGCAGCCCACCAAGGCGGCAGCCCACCAAGGCGGCAGCCCACCAAGGCGGCAGCCCACCAAGGCGAGGCCGGCGATGGAAGGGCCCATCCCCGGCGAGGCCTCGAGCTGATGGGGAGCAGCGGGTTGAGACCACAGGGGAGCAGGCGTCCCTGCTCTCCCGTCTGGAGATGGAGACG